GATTCCTCTCATCCCTGTAGGTTGAGTCGGCGGTACAGGCGATCCATCAGGGCAGACGGGAGCTGCTGGAAGAAGCTTGTCGCTCCTATACCCGCAAACGCAGAGTCCTCATCCCCGAGGACCTGAAGCACATCATCGTGGACGACCAGCACGGCTTGCTCTACTGCTACGTGCCCAAAGTGGCCTGCACCAACTGGAAGCGGGTGCTCATGGTTCTGACGGGCGTTGCCGGGTCCAACAGAGACCCTCTCGCAATCCCTGCCAACGAGGCCCACATCCCCGGAAACCTCCGCACACTTTCTGAGTACTCCACCTCCGAGATCAATCAGCGGCTGCGCTCATACCTGAAGTTCGTCTTCGTGCGCGAGCCCTTTGAGCGGCTGGTGTCTGCGTACCGCAACAAATTCACACGGAGCTACAACACAGCCTTCCATAAACGATACGGCACTAAGATAGTGCGGCGGCACAGGCCGGACCCGCAGCCGGAAGCTCTGGAGAAAGGAAATGACGTCTCCTTTGAGGAGTTTGTCTATTACCTCGTGGACCCAGCCACCCAGCGAGAAGAGCCCTTCAACGAGCACTGGGAGCGGGTGCACTCACTGTGCCACCCCTGCCTCATCCACTACGACGTGGTGGGGAAATACGAGACGCTGGAGCAGGACTCCCGCTACGTGCTGCAGCTGGCCGGGGTGGAGGACCAGGTCAGCTTCCCCACCTCGTCCAAGAGCACCAGGACTACAGGAGACATGGCTGCCCAGTTCTTCCACAACATCAGCCCTTTTTATCAGAAGAAGCTGTATAATCTCTATCGCATGGACTTCCTGCTCTTCAATTACTCTGTACCAGCCTACCTCAAGTTTAGATGAGGCTGGATTTCACTCGCGCACACAGAAACTTAATTACAGAGCCTGGACACCTGCAGAAGAAGCTTCTCCATGCAAACACTGCAAGTTCTGTTTTAACAGAAACAAGAGCAATCCTTATCAGAGCTCCAAAGAGAACTAATTTTATTCCTGAGACAGAACATTGGATGGAGAACTCTTGAAGGAATCATAAGATCAACATTGATGCCTGAAAAAATAAAATAAAAATTTAAAAAAAGGCAAATCCTATTGTACTGTAGTTATCGAGCAACTAGATGTTGCTCATTGCTTTTGAATGTGTGAAACCGGGTTGGGCGATATGTTGAAACTTTCCAACCGGGCCACCGTCAGTCCAACTACTGCATTGCTATAATATCTGTTTGCAATCATAAAAGAGATATTTGAGGAAAAGAAGAATCAGCTATTTGGGTTTATTATGGTTGTAACTGTCTAAGGTCTACGTCATCAATCGCGATAACTCTAACCGTATATTTATGAGCGAGGCAAAACTGGCTTTTCTGTTGTCAGTCAGAATGATTCGTTTCTCTGTTCCCAGTTTTCCAAATCTTGGGAGAAACATACTCTGATTGCCTGGAGTTGGAGTTAAGGTTAGTTTAAGGTCCAATAATGACAATTTAAACCTCAGACGGTTAAACCGGACAAACTAAAGGATCTAAACTAAGCAGTAAGATGAAGTGCGTCCACGCGGTACAAACAGCAGGATGACCTGCTTGCTAATTGATTAGGTTGCCCAACTGCACATGTAGTTTTTGGTCTACTTCTTTAATTTGATTGAATAATATAGATGTTTTTATTCAGTGCCAATCAATTCAACAGCAGCCACTTAAAAATGGCAAAAGTGTTTAGTGTTTTGTGAAATGTTTTCCTATACATGTACAGTATGAATTGAGGTTCGATTTAGTCTAATATGTCTCCATTTAAAAAAAGATTTCTGCTTGTAATTATGCAGAATCACAACCTGAAGCTTTTGGCTTTTCTGTGCGAGCAGCATGTGATTGCATGCAGGATGTGAAGAGCGGAAAAAGGGAACGCATTGCCGAAGTGCAAAGTGAAAACTGCTGGCTTTTATTGGACAGTAATTTGAATCTAAATTTGAAAATGTTCGTCAGTGTTTAGTAGAACAAGCGTTTGGCAGGATATCTGCTGGCAGTCCTCAAAGCTCAGAGGAATCATTGGATAGTAGAAAGGTTGATCGCTTCCTGGTCCATTATGTTAGCATAATATGCCCAGCCCCACCCACCAACCAAAAAGGAGCGAGAAAGTGCAAAAAACCCGGCTTTGGACTATATGCGATATAAACGTATATATTTTTCCGATCACTCCTAGCATGGAATATCTTTGGCTTCATTTTATTCCGGTTGTGGTCTGCTGTTTTTAAAAGTGTATTTGCACGACAAACGTTATTGTTGCGAGTTCCATAGCATAATGATTAAAGTATTAAATTCATGTTTAGACAGTGAATGTCTCTCAACATGTGTGCCTTTGCTTTTGGGCCTTTTTTGGGGGGCGGGGTCAGCTCTAAATGACAACTTTTGTAACTGTGACTTTGTTTACTTTTTCGTACTGTAGGAGGAGACTTCTGTGTAAACTATGATATTGTCTTTATTTATTGTGCCATTTCTGATTCCACAGAGTCAAACCAACCAAAATAGGTAAAGTTTCTCTCACGATTTTCAAATAAAATGCATCTCAGAAAGAACTTGTTAATTCCTTAATAGTTACAAGAATTCTCAACGCAATAACGCAGAATACGCCGGGCACAGTTTGCATGTCAGTCTTTTATTGAAATGATAAACCATGACTGGATGTGACCTAGAAGTGCTTATAAAGGCAACGGTACTACGAAGTCCAGTCAAGCTCAATGTCAGTGGAAATAGGATTAATTACTGTTTCTGAGGGCTATTTCCAGACCACTAATGACAAGCTAAAAGTGCATGTCAAACAATTGAGAAGGCCCCATACAGAAAAGTGCATACTAAATCATTTGTTCACAAAAACAGCACAAAAACAATCCATGCCATCAATACCTGGAACACAGACATGGTTAAATACGACAGGCTATATTCAGTGGCATCGTGCTGCACAAAAAAATAAGAGATCCAGTAGAAATTTGGCAAGAACCAACTGAAGGCTCGTCACGGTTTAAAAGGCACAAATCTACAGAAAATAAGCACGATTAAAATCTAACATTCATCCAGACTGTGCAACGCCTAGTATACATTTACACTCAGTATATATATATTATTGCCTGAATACGATCATTTGCCGTGTAACATTTAGGAGCTGACAACAGTTGTACAGATGTGCCAACAGTTATTACGGTGGTTCTACATTACTCCCACTCGCTGCATCCACTTTGAATGGACTGTGGTTTTGATAATGGCCACAGTGAGCTGGTGAATATGGAGACTAAAGTGCAAAACAACTCCACCCTGTCCGCGTGTTTATTTATTTTTTCTTCCACCACCTGTTTCCTGTATTCTCTTTTTTACATGCTGCTTATCTACAGTGGGAATATGTGTGCCTCAGTGCTGGGTGTGAAGAGCTATCAGCAGTGAAAACAGTAAAAATTGATATAAACTATAGTGCAAACGTCTCGAGCCCCTCATTTCTTTATATTTTGCTAAAGTGGGTGCAATGTAGTATGCAATGCAAAAACAGTGTCTGTGCGATTGTAACAAGCTTCAAAGTATTTTTGTGATTTTGTTCAGTAGTCCTCACGATTAGTTCTCCAGGCTTCTTGAAGGACACTCAAAGCTCTTCTCTGGATCTTTCTACCTTTCGTTCAGTTCTCTGCCGAGATCATCCCACACTGCTTTAGTAATGTTGAGGTCCGAGCTCTGGGGAGGCCGATCCATGACTCAGTGCTGCACCGTGTTTTGGGGATCATTGCCATGCCGACAAATGAAGTTGCTGCCAATCAAATGCTTTCCATGTGGTATTGCATAGTGGATCACGCTCTCCAACACCACAGTTTCCTCACATTTTTAACAACACACTGCACACCATGGCAAGAGATGCCAGGTTTTCAGCTAATACCTGTTCATAAGTCGGTGTTAATTGGCTTAACAGACAAAGTATTCCTCCGGTACAAGCACTGGACTGAAAATGGGTGAAAACTCAGCCAATGTCCAAAGAAAAACTTTGAAAGACCTTCTAAAAACTTGGAGAACTGTTGTTCAAGACCTTCTCTTGAAGGGGGGAGGGGAAGCAACATATAATGAAAGGATGGGGAGACTCGAGATTATTGCACAGTACTGTATGTTGTGAATAAATTATAACCACACAATGAATGATTTACTTTTCACAAAATAAAATCTGTTGTGATTGTTATGTCTGCTTTTTTACAAAACAAGGGTCACACAAACTTGGTGGGGAAAAATTCAGGAACTATGTGGGACTTTGTTCATTAAGACTTCCTTTATCATTTCCCAGCTAGGTAAAAGTAGCAAAACCTATTTGGACCTTACA